ATTCTATTTACATCTCACTCCTCGAAGTCCAGAAGAGTTTATGCGATAGAAAGGTATCTGTCGTTTGCTTTCAGTATACTGTTTGTTTATTAATTTGTTTTTCAAAGCAATCAACAGTTTTGTTCTAATTTCAAGAAAACATACATGCAGTTCTGTAAACCAGGTCTTATTGTTATCAGCCAAGTTGTTATATTCAATTTGATTTCTTTTTTTTTTTTTTTTTTGGCGATTCTTCAAAAATGGCTCAAATTTAGAGAACGTCAGGATACATAATTCATAAAATGTTTAAAATATCAAAAAAGATACAGCGTTTCAAGTTTCTATGCAACTTTCTCTACCACTATTTTAAACTGCAATATAAAAGAAATATAGTTCTATTCGAAATATCTTATTGATGTTAAACGCATTTGAGAAAAAGTTTCAATTTCTGTACGCGTGGGACTGCTAAGCCAGTGTATATATATAAAAAAATAACCTCAAAGCTGAAGAAATGCATTTTTGTTTCTTATCATTTCTTTTCAGCAGACACTTTTCAATTCCGATCGATACATTGTGATGTAAAGTATCCTGACTTTGGCTATGAGCTTAACCGAACGAAAGATTCAATGAAGTTATGGTCACTTGCGCATAAACATTTTGACAAAAGACCACATCCAACTGCCAATTATTAATCAAACTTGTAAAAGGGTAGTCTTTAGCTATGTATTTGAAATTAACTTTACATAGGTTGGACCCCTTTATTTATTTAAGGAATAAGAGAAAAGGTATAGGTTGCTAAAATACCATCGAACAGAATTCAGAAGATGACATCAAAATTAGGCCTAAATGTTCTGAAGGCATTGGGAGAAAAGCGGGGGGGGGGGGGGGGTCAAGGGCATGCATGTCCAATAATCAATGCAATTTTAGCTTAAATTTCCATTTTTCTTTTAAAATATATTCTTATGCTACTAGGACGATGGGCATATTTTTTTCTTCAGCTTTTAGTGATATTCCACGTTTCCGATGGCGATTTCACGAGTTTCACACAAAATATAATGTTGCAGAACACACTTTTATAAAAATTTAGAATGATGTGTTCCCAAATTCAGTATTTTTATGCACTTAGAAACGACGGAAAGTTTTACAAACGTCCGCTTGCAGAAAACTCTTTTTTTTTTATTTCTTTATATATGTCCGCTTGCAGTAAACTTTTTTTTTATGTCTGCTTGCAGTAAAATTAGTTAACGGGTTGGAAACTTTATTAACTACAGTGGAAAGTGCAAGTGTACTAGTGAGCTATACAGCGCTTGAGTGGATCCCATGCACAGACGGTCATGAAGAGAACCGCCCATGGGTCGGAGAGAGCAATACAGAAGTACAATTGGTAGCTGAAAGTGTAAATAGAATAATAGAACCTCCGACATGGAAAGCATGGATAAAAGGATATCATCATATGACAAAAATATCAACTGATCACGCGCATTCTATGACGTGTACATCTCGTTCTTTTTTTTCTTCTGGACACTAAAGCGAACAGACGTGCTTTCTGTAAGTACGTAGATTTTATATATTGTAATTTTGAAATATCTGAGTATTTGTGAAATCAATATAGTGTGGTTTATTTTTTCAGTGAACTATTGATACTATTTTACATATGCCAATTGTTTAACAAAAGTTTGAGAAATTAACTTGATCCATGACCTTTGTTTAATATAAAGGTGTAAAATATACAGCAAATACAGTGACAAGATTCACTTTCCGCTTGAACGCACACAATACACATGTAAACAACAGTAAAGACGGGGTCAGGATTTGTCTTTCCAGCTAAAGTGATACAAAATAAGTCATTTGATAAAATAATTTTATTACATAATACAGCAGATTTCGCTGATTTATAAAAATGCGTGACATTATACAGTTATTTAATGTTTAATCAGTCAATAGACCAGAATGTTTTTCTAAGGGTACTGGGAACAGCTCAATGTGTTCTATTTGGCGGAGGCCAACAACCGATGGTAATAGAACACAGTGAGCTTTTTCCAGCACCGAGGGAAAATGTTCTGGTCTAAAGACTGATCAGACATTAAATAAGAGTTTTATTACCTAATATACTTAGTATATGGGCACTGTCTGTGAATATATTGCCGGTTCGAAATTTGCAAACTATTGACAGGCGATCCAGTGGAGCATTCTAAAGTTACTTAAATTGTACAGGGGAGTGAATATACGGTTACTTAAATTGTACAGGGGAGTGAATATACGGTTACTTAAATTGTACAGAGGAGTGAATATACGGTTACTTAAATTGTACAGGGGAGTGAATATACGGAAAAATAGAAATACTACATATAATTATTAAAACAATGAAAAATATTGCATTAGGTAAAATGCTCTTCTATTTTCTCTGTAATTTACACCATTTCATAATCAAAGTGAACATCACCAAATGCAGGTTTGGAAACCAATTATTCCAAGTTGACTTATAGCCCAGTTCTTATACGATCATTTTTTTTATCAAAAAGAAAGAAAGTATAGATAGACAGCTTTGAATTTACCTTAAGCGAAAGCTGTATTTAAATAAAGTCATATTTACTTCCGTATAATTAGAATTTTATATGTTAGATATTGCTTCTAAACTCTAAGACTAACTCATGAGAACGTCTTAGGAACATCAGTTTCTTATGCATGTTTAAATGTAGCATTTCCGAAATAACTTTAACGATTAATATTTACATTTAGTGTAATTTTATTTGTGAAATCCATTAGAAATCTACAACACTCAATATAACACATACGAAACCTTGTCAAGGCGCGGTAGAATACACAATAGGAACTGCATATAAATGCAATGCACTAGCGACCCAAAAATATACATTGTTTTAGCTCAGTTTAACTAAAACAATTACCCTATTAAATTGTTGTAAAAGTATATCCATTGTACCTTTAGAATTAATTTGTCATTTTTTACCTTACAATATTCATCTGCATTATCTAACTGTCCACGTCAAAACGGCTGTTATATCAATACACTTCACCAATTTTTAAAGACCAACGACTTCCAAAAATAAGAATTCAATGCTTATTATTGTTGACTAAAAATTCCAGACGCCTTACAACGAGGTCTAAAAAAGTTATTTATTGGCTGAAGGCATAGACTTAGTTTTAATAGTTCTCATTGTTATGTGTCGATTACAAGACTTGTTTTATTTTTAATTCTAAAACTTTATGTTTAATAATTTCATTAATCATTGCAGATAGCGTTTTATCAGTTATCACTCTTCACATTATGGACATTCTAGGATTCAGCACACAGTGTAAAGTACGGCAATGTTATCATTGTCTAGGGGACACAGAATTCTACTGTAACACTTGTAAAGATCATCTTTGTCTACAGTGTAAAGAAAAACATGCTATTGATTTAGAGACAATTGACCATGTTGTAATTTACTGTGAAAAATATAACTACATCTCAAGACAAGAATCCTGTGTACGACATCCAGAAAGAGTCTATGAAGAGTACTGTCATTCATGTAAACTCCCTGTCTGTCTCCAATGTAAAAACACCTCGTACTGAATATAAGAGCAGAATATCAATCAGGGCGTCGACAAAACAGAGAAATCATTCGGAACATCAGAAGTAAGACTCTCTTTAACGGTTGCTTTCTCCTGGCAAGAATCAAAACTGATATAAAAAAAAATTCACTCAGAAATTGCCAATCAACAATCAGAAATGACAGCAAAAGCCGCGGAAATCAAAAAGCTCACTGACATTGTAATATCTGAGGCTAAAGTCGGGCAAGAAAGTGCGATTATGATTCAAAGTACGCGGGTATGTTAAGGCTACACCCAGAGATATCCAACTTGCCTTTACAATATGACGTCATAGTAAGCTGTATGACGTGATCTTTAGAAATAATGATTTCTTAAAATCTATATTCAAAGTTTAATTTCAGAACCAAGAAATGAATGGAATCATTCAAAAACATAAAATAAACTAAATCTTGTCGTTTTTGGGTGGTATAAGTAGCTAAGTATTTATCACGGGGGTTAAATACCAAACCCATGACGTCATAACTATTGATCAAATATTTGTCGAGTGAAAATGAAACGTGACGAGAATTCATGTAAACAAATATATGAAATGGGAGTTTTAAAGCATATACATTGAATGTTATGTGTGATTCATAAGGAATTAAAGATTAAGAATCAGGTACGCTGATATATTCTTATCATGTTTTCTTATAATGAACAGAGGCAGTGCTTTGAAATCCCGATAAGCCTTTCCTCTGTCGCTCTATAACAACAAAGATGCAAAAGTTCAACACTACGCCGCATACTGTGAAACATAATTTTTGTTTGTATCGAAAGTTTGTATTCTATAGTACTTGGAAAGTGCTGCTAGAATCGTGTGGTTAACATAAATTGATGACAATTCCTGGATCGTATGTATAAAATGTAAAAAGTTTGATAAGGTTTCGTGCGAAACTTTGGAATAATTTTTTCTGTGTTTGGAGAGTAGGATTCTAGCAGCACTTTTCATGGTCCAGTGATGTTTTTACATGATTATTTTCACAAAAAAGAGATGAATTATCCCCGGGGTAGTGTTGAACTTTTCACTTTTTCATTAAGGTAATTTTCCTATTTATAGACGTCACGTGATGACGTCGTAGTGGAGTGCTTCTTTTAGCTTCAGACTCAATGACGTCTATACAATGGATAATAATAGTAAATGTTTTATCTATGGCTTTTCCGATTTATCAATGTTACATTTTACGAAAAAAAGTCTAAATTCGCCGAAATATGATCTGTGTACTGTCTTAACGTACCCGTGTATGAAACAACTCAAGAGAAACATAAAAAGTCAAATTGCAAGCATAGAGAACTATGAACCTAGATGTCAACAGTCAAAAATTAGGCCGGTAAAATTTCTATTATTCCTAAAGAAAATTCATTTCCCGAAGATTAAGGCCACTCCTAAATTTAGACAGCAGGCCCTGCTCTCCCTAACCCATAAAATTAACATGGTGGATGTGATTAATTTATTGAGCGAAATCCAAATCATAGAGACAGGCAAAAGTCAAATAAGAAATGACAGTCTGATGAAACTGATGTCTACACCTGTATTATACAGATCTGTCACAGTGACAGGTGTTTATGAAGGTGTAAGACACATTTCCTGTGTGACGTCAGACCGGGCCTGGATCAGTGATTGGTATGATAATTTCATCTTAACAAACACAAAAGGTGATACCCTAGATAGTATATATGATGGAAATGGAGCACACACAGTGACCATTACAGGTGAACTTATTTATATAGACAAGAAATATAACATAAAACTATATAAAAACGACAGGACAAAATCCGCACTGATAAAGCAGATAGAGCCATGGTATCCATGGTGTGTATACTGCTCCCCTTTCAATGGGGATCTACTGGTCGGGATGTATAGAAATGACCCAGTAGAACCAGCCAAAGCAGCACGATATAGCAACACAGGACAACACATACAGACAATACAACACGACAATACGGGTCAGACACTGTATAGAAGTCCTGGGGACATCACAGAGAACCATAATGGAGATGTTAATGTGTCTGACTCTGGTCGTGATGCTATATTGGTGACAGATCGTGGAGGAAGACATCGTTTCTCCTACACAGGACCATCAGGAGCAGAACTATATCCAACAGGAATCTGTACAGACGTGCTGTCACACATCTTGGTGTGTGATGCTTTCAGCCACACAGTGCAGATGATTGACAAGGACGGAAAATTCCTGTCACTATTTCTGACACCACAACATGGAATAGGTGCACCATGGGTTCTGAGTTATGATAACAAAACCCAGCTTCTCTGAGATGCATTTAGTAACAACAACAGAATTTGTATATACAGATATATAGAGAGGAAGGATAATCTGGTTCATTTAATATGTTCAGAAAATTTATACAGACGCTGTGCTTTCTGTTAGGTTATTGTAATTAGTTTTTATATGTACAAACGTACGCACATGGATTGATTTGAGAGGTTATTATAATTTGTAAATAAAATACATGTACATAATTGTGTTCATATATAAACAGGACTATTTGACAAGTAATTTCATTTAGTTGATAAGATACATGCACGCATACATACTGAAAGGTCAATACTCCTTATAGGCACCCAATCCCTCCTCTGGAATTTCCGGGGATCGATCGATCCGTACTTAATCTGATTTTTATAGATTTTTATTTATTTTTGGTTGATTTTTTTGGGATCACTATTTGTTATCTTCACATTTTTCATAACAATTGTTAATAAGATATAATAAAAGACAGACATAGAGACAAATAAATATCTAACAGCCAACTCTAAGAAAAGTTTTGAAATTAGGTAAGAGAGATGGAAATCACAAATATTCTATTTACTATTAGCACGATAGTTCATGCATTTACTTGCAAAGAAAAAATGGTATCCATGGATAGTAGAAGAATGCAATAGAATCTAGCAATCAAAGAAAATATGGTTTCCTAACCCTCAAAATGAATAATAAAATTGTAATTATTAGAAATAACTATTTATAATTTTATTAATATATAGGCGTTTCTTACAATCCTCCAAAAGAGATTTCAGTTTGTCTTTATTGGGCTAAACTGATCATGCACACAAACTAGAGAGTGGAGAGCAAGGAAATGAACATTTGAAAGATCTCAATCAGTGTCACCCAGGAGTTTGGAGAAGCTGACTTTCCTTAGACACTGCTTTCACAGCCTTAAAGGAAACTGTCATTCTCTGAGGTGACATGGAATCAGCTGCCCTGAGTCGTCCCTGCCACTGCTGTGTTGTGGATTCAAAATAAACAATTCGTTGTGTCTACGAATAGATCCCTGTTTAGGCCATGTGTTAGTGAATGATGGTTATGTATATATATATATATATATATATATATATATATATATATATATATATATATATATATATATATATATATATATATATATATATATATATATATATATAAAATAAAAAATCCAAAAAAAATCACAAAATATTTTTTGCAAGCGCTTTCGCCATGTTAGGCTCTTCAGGCAGTTATACAAATGTCAGGTAGGTTACCTGGTAACGTCCAAAAGCAAAAGTTCATTGTGACGTCATAATAGATCAAGGTAGCGTAAAGTTGCCGTATTAGATAATGTACAAATATTGCATTAACTTAAACACATAATATGCGTAAAATCTTACAGTATGTTATATAATAATGCATCATTTTCGATTAAGCTTTGGTTTAAAGAGTTTAAACAGAAATATCCTTATGGACGCTAAAAGATTCTACCCAATTTTAGAACAATCGGAAAATATGAAAAGTTTAATACAACCAAATGATATTATCAATAGTCGACGACAGGCACCCAATCTTAAAAAATTGTTAACCAAGGCCCGTTTTACTACACAGGAGGAAATTCCAACCATTAAAAAATGCGGAGATCCAAGATGCGGAACGTGTACATATTTAGAAGAGGGAAATAGAATCCAACTTAAATCAGGAATGGAAATTAGAACCAATTCACCAATGAACTGTAAATCCGAAAACGTTATCTACTGTGCAATCTGTCCGACGTGCAAAGAATTCTATATTGGACAAACTGTAAAACTAAATGCCCGGGTTCGTGTACACAAACAACAAATTAAAGACCCTAGTGTGCGTAATACACCATGTTGTGAACATTTTGCAAAATGCGGCAAAGGAATATTTAAGATTTTCCCTTTTTATAAACTTCCCAATGAAAATGAAAATCTACGTTTGGCAAAAGAGGACTACTTTATCAAACTCTTTAAACCACAGCTTAATCGAAAATGATGCATTATTATATAACATATTGTAAGATTTTACGCATATTATGTGTTCAAGTTAATGCAATATTTGTACATTATCTAATACGGCAATTTTACGCTACCTTGATCTATTATGACGTCACAATGAACTTTTGCTTTTGGACGTTACCAGGTAACCTACCTGACATTTGTATAACTGCCTGAAGAGCCTAACATGGCGAAAGCGCTTGCAGAAAATATTTTGTGATTTTTTTGGATTTTTTATTTTTATTTTTAATACACCCAGCAAAACTGTACCGGTTCTTCATTTTGTTTTTGAAATTATATATATATATATATATACTATTATAGATAAATACGGACAAAAACTTACAGAGAAGGAAACCGGATATCTTTTGTCATTTAACATTAAAACCAGCAACTTTTATGGTTTGCCTAAAATACATAAAAGCCAGACTATAAAAGATAGATGCAAAATTTCTGGATCAACGTACATTAGTGTTGCAAATCCAGCTGATCTTACATTAGACCCATAGTTGCGGGACCAACATGTGAAACTCACAGGATAAGTAATCTATTGGATATTCTGTTAAAACCTTATGTTACCAAAGTTCAAAGTTATATCAGAGACACTATAGATTTTCTTAATACAACTCCCGAGAAAATCAACCCTGAATCCATTTTAGTCTCATTTGATGTCACCAACCTCTATTCTAATATTCCGCATGATCTAGGACTGATCGCCATAGAACATTGGATAGACAGATTTCCTAATCTTTTGCATGACCGATTTCCCAAAGATTTTATCTTAAAAAGCCTTCAATTCATCTTGGAAAACAACTTTATACATTTTAATGAAATAATTTACAGACAAAAATTAGGCACGGCTATGGGAACAAAAGTGGCACCTACTTACGCTACACTTGTCCTCGGATTCTTAGAAGAGAAACTATTTTCTACAGTTCAAGAAAGATTCGGTCACAACTTTGAAACTTATATAAAAAAAATCGTGGAGACGCTACTTAGACAACTGTTTCATCATATGGGACAAAGGTGAAGATCAATTAATGGAATTTTTCAATATTCTCAACACTTTGAGCCCTACTTTGAAATTCACCATGGAATCGGATAAAAAAATGTTATCCTTCCTCGACGTTATGGTTATTAAAAAAGAAGACCGTATAATAACGGACGTTTTCTACAGAATAACAGATACAAAGCAATACCTTATATTTGATTCATGTCACACTAGACACACCAGGAATAATATTCCATACAATTTAGCAAGGCGTCTTTGTACAATAATCTCTGATACGGAAATCTTGGACTCTCGTCTCACAGAATTACAAAATCTACTCCTTCAAAGACATTATCCTAAACAACTGATTCAAAACGGAATTAACAAAGCCAAATCTCATGAAAGAAAGGATCTTCTTACAGTGAAAAATAAACCCGTTGATAATGTTATACCATACGTTTCAACGCACAATCCCAGAAATCCGGAAATTTTCAACATAATAAGAAATAACCTGCCTATCTTAGAAGATGACCAAGACATGAAGAAAATATTAGATACTTCACAGATTATCAAACGCAAGCGACAAAGCCCTTCTCTTAAATCTATCCTTACCAGAGCATCTTTTTCCAGTAACAGCCATGAACCAGCCATCATCAATAAATGCAACAATTCCAGATGCAGTACATGTCCATACCTGACGGAAGGATCTACATTTCATTTCAAAACCGGAAGTAAATTTAATATTAAAACCAACATGTCGTGCACTAGTTCCAATCTTATTTATGTGATTACCTGCGCCGGTTGCGGTGAAAATTATATCGGTCAGACAGGAGACACCTTAAGACACAGAATGACCGTACACCGACAGCAAATTAGGGAACCAAAATACCGATGTACCCCCGTCAGTGACCATATTAGAAACTGTGCCAAGAATAAAAGTCCCAACTTTACCGTTTTTCCCTTTTACAAGTTTCGAAGGGATACCACAGAAAAAGAACGTGAAACCAAAGAAAAACTTTTTATTAACAGATATAAACCTGTTTTAAATGCTACATAATTATATTTTGTATCAGATATATACTTTTTCCCGCAATTTATATCTGTATTATTTGTATGGAAAATTTAATTTCCCGTATCAAATTTCTTACGTTATGTCATGACGTCATAATTAACTTTATTAATGCGTAAATTCACATTAGCGCTTTTTGACGTCACAGTAAGAATATTGATTTTGTATTTATGTGTAACTAAGCAATATGTTGTCAAACTCCTGAAGATTGGAAATGAAACCGGTAGAGTTTATTTCGGTGTTGTGATTTTTTTTGATATATATATATATATATATATATATATATATATATATATATATATATATATATATATATATATATATATATATATATATATATATGTCCAACAGAATTTGTCACTCCAAGTCACAGCACGTGTAAGTGAGGTGTAGTATAACTATTCTCATTGTACAAGGAGGGACAACTCCTATTGATTATAAATGCCAGCACAGCGTTGCTGTATTGTTGTTTATAATGGCGATTTACTGATGCTACTCTATTTTTGTGTTAGTCATTGTTTTATTGTTAAAGACTAATTTAATGATGCAGTTCCTTCATGAATGTAATGTTAGACAAAAGGGGAGGATCAAAGATTCTGTGCCCTGCTGTATAGACAGGAGGGGTGGATCAAAGATTGTGTGCCCTGCTGTTTTGACATGAGGGGTGGATCAAAGATCCTGTGCCCTGCTGCATTGGTTTAGGGTATAATCCTTTACTCCTGATGTAGATGGTTTTATTTTCAAGGTCACCAGGGCAAATAAAAAAGCTTCTGCTTTTTGTTTGAGAACACAATTTTTTTCAGAAGTCGTTTTATTGGTTTTGTGATACAATGTGTTTTTTTTTTTTTTTTGGTCTTCGCTTTTCGAAGATTTTATGAACATTTATCTCATGATCATGCATTGATTATTTCATATGTAGATATTTTAACAGATTTTGTAAATATATGTCATTTTG